ATTGACATCATATCCGAACAGATCCAAACTAGTACGCTGTGCTATACTGCACACAGAAATAAGGCATAAATTAGCGCCGAAAGTACACCTTGTATTGTTTCCTGAGCATCCGTATTATTGTATAAAATATTCACTACAATAGTGCGATTCCAGATTAAAAAAGGGTCAATACTCTATTGACAATCCGAAGAGCTGAAAGTAATTGTTGTGGTATGTAAGCCTTTTATACTGTCCCATCCTATATGATGATGATTCAGATCACATACGACTCTATGGTTTTGGCGCACCTGCACAAATAATTCGATTAAAAGAACTATAGGCGAGCCGATAGTTCTTTTACGATGATGCCCACGAACTGCACATTTGACTGTTGTATCAATGAATACACTTGCTTATACTACGACTTTTAATGTATTGCATGCTACCTATAGTTCCTCAGACATTTTAAATTACTCGGCATGAGTAAATGACTAGAGGTTGGACACCATGGCGCAGCATCAAATCATTCAGAATTTCGTGATATTGTAGCACAAATCATCTAAGATCTTACAACAACAACCGTGTGACAGTAAATCGGTTTGATTGTGCAAAAGAACCGTAATGAGCATATAAGCTTGAAGGAAGTCGTTCGAAAGTTTAATTGAATGTGGTAAAGCTGGTTGAGAATATAACTTTGAAAAGAGGTCATCAAAAGGACTGACGCTGGACTAGTGTGTGTGATAGTAAGGGTAACCACTACAAGAAAAGATAAAGAATGAGCCACTCACTGGGACTGTACGGTCTGCGACCCCACAACACAAAGCAATGGCTGGTCAATTGCTGCTTGGTCGTAAAGGTGTTCATTGAATGCTGGGAAGAGCGCCACGGCTATGGACCTCAGATAGCACGCACGAGTGCATCCTCCAACACAGGAAACAAAGCGTCGTGATTCATCGAGAAGGATTTTGCCCACTTAGTTTTGTCTTTGCATTTTTGCATTTTTGTTGTAAAATAATTTTAAGCTCATTCTGGATTTTTGCTGGTCCCAGATGAATCTCTGGACTTTAGCCGGAACTCTCCTCGCGATTTTGCGTGTGTGTTCTGCTCAAAAAATTGACCACGACAAAATCAAACCTATTGAAGAACACGAAGCGGTCAATGTTACAGAAAAACTTGCTTTCAGGTACAAGCCGTCGCTGGCGGTTACGATTATATTGTGTGCCGGGTATCCTGCTGTTGATTCCGATGGCAATTTCTCTGGTGGACTTAAGCCGACAAATGGAAACAACGGATGCACGAATCCTCCACTGGGTAGTCAAGTGTATGTTCGTATTCGGAAGTACAAGGATCTGTGGGCCATCATGTATGTTTGGTACTTTCCAAAGAGGTTTACATCTCTTTGGCCCAAAGCTCGTCATGACTGGGAGCAAGTGGTTATATGGATTGATGAACTCACAGAAACGCCGAATGTTAAATTAGTTTCTGCATCTTACGGTGACGATTACTCAAAATTTGTCCCAAAAAAAAGCGTGGATTCCGGCCCGACGTTTCTTCTTCGAGTTGAAACATTTGGACCTCCAAGTTTGACCATTACATTCTTTCCTGAAGATTATAATCTTCTTGACTATTCTTCTCCTTATTACATTATCTTGTGGGAGCAACTACCGGAACCAGCTCGTGCAGCTTTGAGCGATGACAACAATTTTGGAGATGCGAAATTTCCGCTCAGGGATGATCAAATCGATCAACATCTTGAAAAGGCGTATCAGACAGAAGATGAAAGAAACGAAGACCGTTGAATTGATAGTCCTTATGTGAATATTTCTTTCATTAATCAATAATGTACATCACTTTTTTCCGTTTATTTTCAAAAGCTCAGAAAATTGTGTGTGGCTATGATCATGTGATAACAATTCAGCTGATGCTGATTTGTTGGTGTGAAAAAGCTTCTTATGCTCCTGTGTCTTTGACCTAGCATTGTCATAATTAAACCAGTTTATTTTTTGTAATGATGTACGATGTTAATCAAGGACAACACTTGCTAAGTACCCCATATTGATCTATAAACACCGAATAGACAGGCTTCGTGGTTTAAGAGGGTTGAACCCTCAAATATGAAAGGATAGCCGCCACATCATAAGAGCCTCTGCAAGTCAGAAAATGTTTGGACATTACGAGAAAGTATAGGCGAGTTATGATAAATAAACAAATTATTTAAGCTGGCTAATCTGTGCTCATTTTCTAGAGGAACACATGTAAAATCTGGACATGAAAAATTGGAAGCTGCAATATCGCTCTACAACTAGGTAATTACAAACAAATTTTCCATGGTTTCAAAAGCTATCTATTTCTCAAGGTACCATTATTAATGCAAAATTTCAAATTTCAACGTGAAATTAAATGATCATTACTACAATGCCGAATCTCCTTACCGCTGGAAGACGTCATATTGTTATGTCGTTGTTTCATCTGGAGTGCATCTCACTTTAGTTAATTGTATTGACTCTTTGTTCATCAAGCTGTTCTATAAATTAATTCAAATTGATAACAAACTTTTTGTCATCCAATTTATCATACTTAAATACACGGTAACCACTTCAATGCCTTTGTGTAGAATCTTATATATCATGGTCACAGACGTGCATACATGAATCAATAGCTCAGACGTAAAAAGAAAGTAGTGTATATAAGAGTATAGACAATTTTGTATGTATGCTGTGCTTGAGTCTAAAAACCAAGAATAGAATTTCTGAGAGGACGTTGGATAAAGTGTGACCAAAATGGTAATTGTCTGACATCGCAGAATATTAGCCAAAGCCAAATCAATTTGATTTTTTTTTGGTAACATGCATTTCTGTAGTGATTTGTGATACAGTCTGTTTACGATTTAAGGACGCCATCGGTGCAAAACTGTTCATGTTCTTATAACGAGAGGCTCAGAAAATTATAAAGACGGTACTTTGTGAAAAAAGTGAGCTAGCTGGCTGATTTTGAAGATTTTCCATAAGTGGTTTTCGAAGGTCAATCAATTGTACAACTCACGCCATCACTTTTAATAATATTCACAAGGTTACCTCCGCCCGCTGGTTGTGCAGCTAGAGGGTGGTTACTTGCGGAAGACTCGCCCAGTATCCCAGCAAAGACGACCTTGTGAGTCGAGGGGGAAAGTGACTTTTGACACCACCTCCGTGCTCTCCGCAGTGAAAAACCAAGATCTCTGGCTGCTTCAATCCCGCCTGCAGCATCTCTCATATATGCGTCATAATCACAGCGATGTCGTGCCCACTCTGGCTATGCGCGAAAGCGTAGACAAAGATGAGTTGGGACACGAGCAGTGAGAAAGGCCCGTTTCACCTACGGTGTTTGACAACTCGGATAATCCGATATCCAAAACATTGACTGCCCGGGCCCGAAGCTCGCGCCAAAAGCGCTTCTGCTTCCTAGCAGAGGTGGGCTCATGACTCATCAAAGCTCCATCAGGAGGCGTGCGCATAGGGCCAAGGCCATCGAGCTGATATAAATCCATGGTTCACATTGTTCCAATTATCCATACCAAGGACGAGGTCATACCTTGCATCCTAGACAAGCCTAGGCAGCGTTCCACGCTATCAAAGTAAAAAAAAACGAGATCGACAGGGACCCTCGCTACTGTGACCCAAGTCCCCGTCGCTAAGTGAGCAGTGATTGTTCCACCGCGCTTCCAGCGCCTCAGTTTAAATCTGACTTCCTTCGATCATAGAGCGTCAAGCATGATTGCCCGAAGCACCAGAATTGATATGGATTTTTCATGGCTTATCAAAGCCCTTTACGGTCGCTTTTTCGACCAGTAACCCGGCTTGCACACACGCTTCGTGATCAAGAGCACGGGGTCTTCGGGTCTGGACCCTGCTCTATCGCATTGAGACTCAACAATACTCAGTTCACCCCCAGTCACCCGCGCCTACTCGGATTTCTCGTTTTTCCACGTCATACCAGATTGATGAGAACCGGGACGTTGGTTCGACAAATTTGTGCGCGCTTTGCGCATGAAACAATATCCGAGTGTGACAGGTGTCTCCACAAACAAAACACCGTCTGGTGTTTACCGCTGCTCAGCAGCTCGGAGCTCTGCCTCCTCTATCTACCATCAGCTCAGGCCCGCTCGACGAGCTCTGAGGACATACATTCGGACCAAGTCGTACCGACGTAAAATTGAATTTAGCATTCAATGCTATGTTTACCGCTTCTTCACATGAAGACGGTTGCACACGAAAGACTTTTATTCTGGCCACGTCAGCACGGAGGCTCTCCATAAAGACGGTCACTGCGACCACCTCGAGGAGAGGATCTGCTATCACGGCAATAAGAGCTCTCAACTCTTGGAAAAATCCACCAACTCCTTCTTGCCCTGTCAGGCAGCTAGGAATCGCGATCTCGAACGATATGCCTGGTTAGGCGGCTAAAAACTCGCAGAAGATGACGCTTTAGCTCCGTCCAGGAGGGAGACACAGCTTCAACCTAAGCACCGCGCGTTAGTGCCCATTCTCGCGCTCTGCCCCCGAGCTTGAAGATAGCTAACAATGCGCGCTTTTGTTCGTTTTAGATAATAACGGATGTCATGGCCATCCCGGACTCTCTTAACCGGAGCAGGAGGTCCTCTCCATCCTTACACTCGAAGGTATCAACGATCCCCATAAGCGGCCAGAGTCGGAACGAATCAACCGTCGTTGACGGTGGCGTCATAGACGCAGTCGACGCTGACAGCTTCTGCTGTAGATGCTTTAGCGGATCATTTTCATATTTTGAAGCGCCTCTATGCGCGCTCATGGCCTCGGGCCCTTGCGCAACAAGGTGCTCCACGCCCTCAAGGCCCAGCATAGACATCAGCTAATTGAGCCCGTTCTGCATGCCCTGGAAAAAATATGAGTATTTCTCCATTCTTACAGAGGGTCAATCTTAACAACTCGATCGTAGATTGACTACAAGTGCGACCAAGTGCAGCGGGGCTGCCGTAGCTGGAGAGCTAGTAACATCAATTAAGGGTAAAGAGAGTCTTCCGTTCGAAATTATTAACTGTATTTGAATATTTGAGATGCGGCATAGCCGCCAATATTAATGTGGAAAAACGTAATTGATATGCATTATTACTACTGGCAATCCTGCCACGTAGTGGCTTTTGTTGTGGTGTAGCCACACCACTGTGTGAGTACACCAGCTTGTGTAATGCTCTTTCATGTACAATCTCACCATCTTGTGAGACCCGCCCTTTCATAAAAGGGTATGTGTAACCCCGTTACAATATTCGTTAATTTAGTGTCTGTCGGCATATAATTTATCATCCCTTTCAACAAGGTGGATCCCACCACATCCTATTGTTCATCTCGATCCGCCGTTACCATCGAATGTCATCATATATATGCAAACGACCACACATATCGCATGTTAACATCTTAGCGAGCTTCACTTCGGTCGCCTGCATAAAAAGTAGTCTCGACTATTTGAGCTGTTAAAAAAATTAATGAGGTATCAAATTACTGTAGCGTCATCAATTTAGAGATATCAGTTTGCAAAACTTTGCATGGAATGGTATTTTCAAAAGCTTGATGCACTTGTTTATATAAATCACACCATGGGTGGGGAGATCCTCATAGAGAACTACGTTCCCAAACAGATACAAATACAAGTGTTGCGCATGCAAGGACTTACGCTTTAACTTAAAGACGTTACACTGGCACCATGTATCTGCTATTGATACTTTTTCGTGGTAAAGCTTTTTTGGTTTCATATTCTTTATAATCTATATAGTCTCGATTACTATAGCAGTTTGACAATTGATTAAGACCTAAGAAACTGGATGAGTATTAATGCGAGATTGTTACCGGGCGGTTCCGAAGACATTATCATATGATCATATTTCGAAGAAGACAAGATGTCATTCAACGATTAAGATTTGCCGAGATTTGGCGTTGATTCAAATTTGTAGTGGCTTGCCACACGATGCAGCGAAACTTCTCGTCATGATTGATATATTTTTGCGTTGCGATATATCTTGATAGGCTTGTACTTCAATTGTATTTCATCTGATGCTGAAATGCAAAAATGATCAAGATCACGGATTGATAGCAACATAGATACAAACCGCATCGACGTTATATTCCGCAAAGAAGGTTAACCAGCTAGCCATCCTCTGCGAGAGGTGGGGCGACTGAGTCGCAGTGCATAGTGACGAACTGCGACTAAAGACATCATCTAGTGAGCTTCTTAGACAGGTAAATGGGACCCAACGCTCATGCACACCCGAACAATGCAATATTAAAAATTGTTGAACGATTTGATATGAGAGATTGCAGCTTTTGGACCTTTCGTCGCCATATTTTGATATTATCGAGACCAGAGAAAGACAAAAGTTATTCAAGCCAGTCTACTTGACCTGGGATAGGTGATTAAACATTTGATGCTCCATCTCCATCGAAAATACTGGTTTCTACGTATTAGGCGTTGGGTTGACTAGTACTGCCACCAAGTGCACCGAATTTTTCCGTGCAATTTGCTCAGAGGAAGCTTAAAGTTTCAAAATCCGGGTTACAGCTTGCGCTTTCGCTTCTACCACGAGCGTAATCGAGTGCCTCTACCAATACTTGGAGCTTAATTAGCTCTGATATTCTACTAGCTTATAGAAATATTGCCCATACTGCTTAGAATGATACATTTTACTATCTCTTGCAAAAAATCAAACTTAATTTCTGACGTGTGGCTAGATTCCACGGACCCCACCTCTTTGGAGGTTCGTCATTTTTATAAATACCGAAATTTCGGGCAA